TATATATATATTTGACGTTCTTTCTAGTTGAATGTGCTTTTATTGTTGGAGCGCAACCATATACTGCTGTTTTACTGACACCCGATATGCATAAACTCTAAATATGTATAAACAGCGTTAGCGATACGTCTTAATGTAATGCGAACAGCGCAACGCAAACCCTCACATAAGTGTCCCATATAAAAGTGTTGGCTATTTACACATAATGTACAAATATAGCGCGCAAGATATTTATAGGCAGCACAGGTAATGCCTGTGAATATACTTCCTAGTCTAACTGACAACTTCAGTATGGATATGTATACAGATCAATATTAGAACATTAGTGTCATTACGCCTGAACTTAATATATTATATTAGCCTGAACTGAAAATATATTATGAATAAAAAGCACATTCTGAACAAAGTAGACAATTTCAATATGTTACACAATAATTGCTGTGTAGTGAACAACAATTTGATTATTGTGCATAATTCTATCACTGTTATACTGACCACAGTTATTATTATGATCTTTTTGAGAGGTGTAGTAGCTAGATAGCATTAATTGGTTTAGTTTATTCAAGTATCAGATAACCCAGACAATAAAAACCGGTACATGGTTACAGTATAATCCTGTATTCAGATTTAGTCGAGCGAAGAAGTGAACAATGTATGGAGGTTTTTGGCTCAGTGAAACTGATGGTATCAAGCTAATCCCAAACGATGTTTGTTGTTGTGTGTCTGCCATCCAAGTACACAAACCCTGACTGAGGAAAATGAGAAACATTTCATTAATGAGGCTGTGAGAAATGGAAATTAGTGCTGTCAAATGATTAATCGCGATTAATCACATCCGAAACAAGAGTTTTTGTATACATAATATATATGTGTGTGCTGTGTATATTTAATATATATATATAAATACCCACACATGCAGTATATGTTTTGACAATATTTACACACATACATACATATTCATATAATTTATATTATATATAAATATATTTAATATATAAACATACAATTTTCTAAAATACATACAGGCATGTGTGTGTGTGTGTGTATATATATATATATATACACACACACACATAATAAATATACACAGTACACACATTATGTAAAAAAAACAACTTTATTTTGGATGCGATTAATCGCGATTAATCGTTTGACAGCACTAACACAGTTTAAGTCATTCAGCTGATGCAACATTGAAATGCACCTTACACAATACCTGTGTTATGGAAATTAAACATGTAAGGATGGTTGCATTAAACTTTGAGTAGGGTTCTATACAATGACTAAAAACGTCTTTGCTTGTTGTTGACTTTCACAGAAGTGGAAATTTCTGCGTTGTGCTTTGTGTTTTTCATTAAATTGGATGGGCCTGTCCACATGTTGTCTCTGCTGCTTCTTATATAGTTCAGCTGAATCATCCATAAGAGAAATTTTCAGACATGCCAGAAAATCAAGTTCACCCACGGGTTATATCAGAAAGCAGCAGAGAGCTGGAGGTTTTATCTCTGCTCTCTGATGGTAAGAGATAAACCCACGGTCCTATCGCAGGTGTGGCACCCCAGCCTTGTCCATCACACGCGTCGACACGTTTGACCGGTGTGTGTAATCCAGTCAAAGTCAGGGCATTAGGAGGCAGTTATGTGTTTGTTTTCATGCAATAGTGACTTGAATCAGAAAGGAAGACAGTGTGGCTGATAAAAGGTAACTCCAGAACATTCACCTCTTCCATACACCCACGGACACATAAACACCCAGCAGCGAGGACAACGGTAAACACATTTGTTGCTGCGCATTGGTGTTTGGGTTGGCTTGCTGTTGCTTTGTTTCCATTACACTGCCTTTGAGTCGAGCGTTTTAGTTGAACATAAACTACACTTGAGTTAATTCTAGACATGACCCCATCATCCTGACTGAAAATGAGCTGCTGCTGAAGGACTAAACAATACGTCGGTGTACACAAATGAACGATGTTTTGAATTCCTTCTCTTTTTCACGTAAAGGATGTGACGTAACAGTGAAAAGGAAAATAAAATTGACTGTTAGTATCAACACTTGATGTAATTCAGTAGCCGATTGTTTGGTTGAATACCCAGCACACTATGTTCAGGCCAGCGCTTTAAAAAAAGACCAAGATGTGCCTTTTTAGCCAGCTCTTGCCCCAAATCATGCGCCAAAAGCCTGTAACCCGTTCCTTTAAATATGAAACAAAATTTTGTTCCTCTCTGCATGTTTTTACAATGCTGCTCTAAGGCGATGAAGCTGATGGAGCGTGGAGAGAGAGAGAGAGGGAAAGAGCAGTGGGCCATTTAATGCAACAGCTGTTCTCAACAATGACAGCGGCATTACTGATTGAAAAGCAGAATGTACGGCGGACGTGTACAAATACAGCTTCCCGTTCTGTTTCTAAAGCCCAGTGCACAGATTTGGGCCTTGGGTTTGCGTTCTGAGACCAATTTCAGGAATTGATGAATTCATTGGTGGTTGTGAAAAAATCTGCAGTCTTGGTCAGCTTATATAACATGGTCAAGTTTTCTTGTCTTTTGCATTGAATCTTGCCCTTAAAGTCTGCATTAATTTAAAAACGACATTGTTTACTTTGTTAGCGCACATTACTAATCTTGTGATGAACAATTAATCAATGCAATTTAGTCTTTGTACTCTTAAGTCCAAATTTGAAAATGTGCTTCCCTTCTGGAATGGTGTTCAATCTCTGATTTTGTCAGTTTGACAGCTTGGGCGGAACGTCTATAAAAACTCCTCTCCAACCACCAGTCTGAGTGAGCTAGAGGCTGCGAGGTGTGCTAAAATCAAGCCCCACCTTCTAATTTTTATTTTTTTTTCATTCAATATTCTGTTTCTCTCAGAAATACATCACAATATTGAAGTGCACTTTTGGTTCACACAGAATTTGAAGTACGGTCACATTTACCGTTGCTCTTCAAAATTTTGCAAGTTAAATCCAGTCGTTTCAATTGAAATTGACAGGATGAAAATGTGGCTTGATGGACTTCTGATGGCCAAGAAGTTTCCTTGTGTGAGTTTCAAGTCAAGTTCAAGTTTTTGCAAATGTTGTTTGAACAACGTGCGAACTCTGTGTGGTCAGAGATTTGTAACTTAGCAATAAAGCAAAATTGAAGATCCACAATGGA